CGGAGGACGCGCTAATTAATTAGCGCGATGCTAACGAGGGACCGAGGAGCTCCGGCCTGCGCCTTCACCGCGGCCTTGCACCCCGGCTCCTGTAGCTTCCGGGCTCCCCGGAGGGTCCCGGCGTGTGCAGGCAGCGCCTGTGCCGGCTGACAGCCAAGGCGAGCGCCGCAGGGGGGCCTCGAGCCCCCCCTGTCCCGCTTCTCCGGCACAGCCACCGGGTAGCGGCCTCCTGGGACCTGATGGGTCTAAACCTGACCACAAAGCACACTTGAACATGAAGGCGGTTCCGCTCCACGTGGTCGGGGCTGTGCCGACAGGCAACGCGCTTCCCGCTGTGCCAGCTCTCGCTGGGGGCTCCCAGGGTCCAGGCCCTGACCTGCGGGAGGGCTGGAGAGTGTGGGAATGTCCCCTACACAACCGTTTTGGGGAAACGGTCTTAATAACGGGTCCTCACGCTGCAGTGAAACCTCTGATTGGAATCCTAATGGGACAGAGTTCCTGGGGAATAAGGATAAGCCAAGTTCACTGAGTATGGATTTCCATAGGGGTGTTTTGGGGATGTTGGCTAAGTCATCAGTGATATCTAGCAGGCAGTTAGTAGGTATTCTGTAAAAATAAATGGGACGTGAGGGAGAGCGAGTTTGCACACTTCGAGGGTTTAGGTGTGCAAAGAAGCAAAATATGGCATACGTGCATATCTGTATACACACATCTGTATATGCATGTATACGTACATACCCACCCAAATTACTGCCTCGGATAACAGCCTGGGGGATCAGAGCGCATGTACCTCCAAGGTGACCTGAGAATAAACCACACAAATGCCCCTGTTGAAAACTGGGAATCCAGGAGCTGGATTTTCACAAAACTCACCGGATATCTTCTCTGGGAAATGGTGATGGGGCTGATTTCAGTTCAATCCTGGCACTGACACAGATAGGGAGTACAAATAAAGGCTGCTCAGGAGACACAAAGTGGTTTGGAGTGATCTGATCTCATTGTTTTGTTTTTTTTTCTTCTCTCTCCGTCCCTCCCCCCCCCCCCCCCCGTTTCCTCTACCAGCTTGTGAACACATTCTTTAGTTTCCTGAGACGTAAAACAGATTTCTTCACTGGTGGAGAAGACGGAGTAGCAGAGAAGGTAAAAACCACAAATCCTTAACCTTTTATGTCCTCTAACTTACATGCTGCCCCTGTCTGTGCCGTGCTAAGGCTTCCCTGCCTGAACAACTCAAAGCATTACGGTGCACTCGGGACCAGCAGCCCATGATGCTGATGAAACATATCGCTGAAACAAGGTAATAACGAGCTGCCCCTATCTGAGGTGAGGCACGCAAGATCGCTTCTTCGAATGGTACTGACAGTGTGGGGTTTTTTTCTGCCACGCTCTGGCCAAAGGCTTGTTTGGAAAGCAAATCTGCCAGAGCGACTTAATGGTGGCAGACACCGCAGTGTTGATAACCCCAGGTTACCTTGTTTGTTCATCACAGAAAAAGCACAAAGTCCACATCTCTGCCCATGCGGCTGCACCTTTGTCTGGGGGCTGCGGTACCTGTATGGAGTGAGCCTGGGTGTCCGGGCGGCCTCATTGGCAGCCTGAGCATCTCCTGTCCAGCAGAGATTCCTCACCCAGCTTGAGAGCTGAAAAAAAAATGAAATTGTCT